ACCTGCCAGGTGTAGAAGAGACTGTCTCCTCTCCCTGTGATATGCATTGGCTCTATGTTCATATACTGGTGGTTACTAAAGCCTGTGATATTCAGCGATGAGTCGACTAGTGTTAAAAACATCGCAGATAGTATTTTTGGAGGAGAAGGGCGGAGCGTGGACTAGAGGCGGAAGACATTGCATTACAAGGTGAATTGAAGTCAGACTTAAGAGCTCAAGTCCCATTTCACAGAAAGTTGTGTAATATCATCATTTAGGTAGGAAAATGGGCAACTCATTTTAGATTCCTATCGAAATTATTTGAATTCCAGATGCCTGGAGAATGGTGCCATCAGAGCCCTTGGGCCCTGTATCACTGCCACCAACCAGCCTGGGTGCTTTTACACACCTCTTTACCTTTTGGGGCATTTGTTCTTCATCAGTAAAAATCAGAAAACTAAGAGATCACTAAGGTTCCTTCCGGGATGACATGCTATGATCTCAATCTACTCTATCTCATTTCCCAGCAAGATCCGAAAAGCATGGTGCTTCTCTTCTCCGGTGGGAGGTGCCTGGCAGTGCAAGCTTCACAGTGTCAGTGAGATGCTGTGCTCCTCTCCACCAACCTGTTTCCTCCTCCCTTCCTAAAACTGTTCCCAGTTGTCAGAAATTCCACAGGCTGAGTTTCACCTTGGTCTCATGCTTGATCCCAACATAGTAGCAATAATTCTTATCCTTTTTTTCTTCCCCCTCTCAGGTGATAATGCACTTTCTCATATTGGAGATTCCTCCAAAGATATCATACTAACTCAATTTTCATCAACTGAGTAAGACAAGGAACCATAAATCAAGGAAAAAACTCTGGAACAACTTGACATTTAGAGCTAAATGTCACTGAAGAAATTATGCTCAGTATTGATGGATTTTCTGATTTAGGAGTCAGGAATAAAACAAGAAGACCTTAGCGGCTTTCTCTCTGCCTCCTTTGTCTTCAATTAAGTGAAGAGAAAATTTATTTCATGTGGATGATTCAAAGAAATTGCTGTGGAAATGCAGAAGAGTATGTTGTGTTGGAAATAGTGTCAGTTGTACCTTCTTCTCGTGACCACAAAATGTGGTTCCTTTTCATAAAATAGCATTATTCCCATGGCATTTCCAATCATCTGTTTGGAGTAAGAAAATGTATGAAATAGCTTTAGATAAATTAATGAACAATCTATTTTCAAAGTACTGGTGCAAATTTCCTAGAGAGAGTCATTTCTTCCACATTTTCCATTGGATTTTATGTTCATCTTTGCTTCTTAGGTTCAGTCACTTAACTTGGAAAGTTAATCAGAATAAATGAAAACTTCCATTTCAGATAGCTTGTCAGCATTTATCAGAAAGTATATGTAGTAATGCGATTTGATTTGATATGTAAGTAGTTTTTTTCACCTGGTCCCACCCTGCAAGTGAAGTCCAGGCAGACCTAATCGAAGGGAGGACGTAGGGTCTTGGAGAGGTGAAGTGACTTGCCAAGATTGTGAGGCCAGTAATCTTTAAAAATCCTAAAATGGGATTTTTAGGATTTTTGGTTCTAGCCTTATCTATAGCCCCATAAAAGCCTTAAAAATCACCTACAATCCTAAGAAATATTTGTGAGGTTAAGGTATCTGGTTCATGACCCCAGAATTCTATCTATGTAAAAGGGAAACTGAAGGATTTAGTTGTCTGCTTCCAGGAGCTACTTAAAAGATCCCGATTTTCTTTCACAACACACAGTAGTACTTTTTGAAGTTGTTTTTGTGTATAGCAGTGTGACTCTGGTGAGACCCAGAGCGGCAGTGAATGAACGTGGTATGAAGCACCATTTCCTTCCATATCTTCCACACTTTGAGCCCACTGAGGTTCAGCCCTGACCACAGTGCACAGAATAAGCAAGGCTTTGGATTCATCCTTGCTGTCTTGGAGTTGCAGAGTCTTAGGGGTATCTCTTAGCCTCTAGACATGGAAAGCCTTCATGATATGCAAGTAAAAAGACATGGGGAACTTCTAGTATTAAGTGGGATTAAAGGCACACATAGGAAATCCATATTTAAGTTTTATAAGGCAGCAAGACTCAGCACAGATCAAATACAAAGTGAGAGGTCAAAGGGAATGACTGAGGAGCAGTTAGATGATTCCATCCCCCAAAGATATGCATGCGCCAAAAGAGAATTTATCAGAAGGATTTCCCTGGGAAAGCTGCTCCATAGTCCTCTTCATCTTACCTACTTGCAAAGGTGAGAGAAGGAGGATGCCTTCCCTGACCCATATCTAGTAAGAGAGATTTCTCAGGTAGCTTTCAAGGACTATAAAAATTAGAGTGCATGGCTGCCCGGTCTGATTATTGCCTGGAACTATGGCTACAGCTCTGGTAGTAGAGCCCTGAGTGCAGTCATAATTGAGAGTAGCTAGCCTGTGTTAGTAGTAGCTAGCTAGTTAGTGTTTGTCAGAGCAATGGATTTATGTGCTTCCCGTGGGCCATGGCAAGACATGCAAGAGAGAGAGAGCCAGCATGGGCTGTCCTGGTCCTGTCTGATAGGCCATCCAAAGAGGTGGAGGACCCTAGCATCCAGGAGTGGGAGGTGAAGCTAGACTGTAGGATGAGGAAGGATCACAAGTGACCACCTGGAGTACAGAAGAACCTGCCCAGGTTAAAAGAATTGCAGGTGAGAGGTCAGGGCTACGGGAATTTCCATGGGAGTTCTTGAATGCTTCTTCACTTATTATATCCAGTTATTATCCAGAAACCTCAGTGCCCATGATGAGGTAGAAGGAGAGTGAGAAAAACTAAGCAAAAATGTCACCCAGCAAGGGAACATGTGATAATGCAAGTGGCCAACCCAAAGCAGCACTCAGCTGGGGAAGGGAAATTTAATGTTAAATTATTGTAGTTTCTTATTATTATACGAGACTGAGCATCCTAACCACCAAACTAATCATGTTTAAAGTGACTAAAATGTTGTTAGTACCTGGGCATGGTGGGGTTATAGCTGGAGTATATCTGATGGGAAGAAAAAACTTCTGCCACGAAATCAATTTTATGAGGATGACAAGAGATGAAAAAAATAAAAGTGTTTTTGATCATATCCCATGTGTCATGTTCATCTAATCCACTGATTACACATGCATTCGCCTCAAAAGCTACTAAAGAAATAATAAAATGATCAGAAGAAGAGAAAGGCATTGTAATCATTTTCTGTTGCTGGGTTTTCTATTATAATAGTTTATTTCTATTATGATAGTTTTCTGTTGCTGCGTAAAAATATTGCCACAAACTCAGCAGCTTAAAGCAACATACATTATCTCAGAGTTTTCTTGGCTGAGGAGTCCAGATGCAGCTTAGCTAGTCCTCTGGTCAGGGATGCATGAGGCTGTGATGAGGGCGCTAGCTGGGCTGTGTTATCATCCACAGGCTCAACTGGGGAAGAATCCACTTATGACTCATTCAGGTGGTTGGCAGAATTCATTCCTTGAGGTGGTGGGCATGACAGTTGTGGCTTGTTGCTGACTCTTGGCTAGAGGCTGCCCTCAGACCCTAGAGACCCTTGCCACATGGGCTTCTCCACCTTGGCCACTTATGTCACTAAGCCTGCAGGGAGGGTCTCTAACTCCAGTCTGCTTTTAGGACAGAGTCTGGTATTATATAGGGGTATCAGGGGAAAGACATCCCATAACTTTTGTCATGCTCTATAGTTAGAAGCAAGTCTCAGGTCCTGGCTATAATCAAGGGAAGGGGTTTTTAAAAGGTTTGAACATGAAGAGGGAGGGACTGGTGGAGGGGACAGGCACGGACCTCCAAGGACAGGGAGTAGAAGAGAAGGTAATGGCAATGCAGCTGTGGAAAGCAGGTGGAGTGAATGTTAACTGACTTAGAAAACCTGAGAAAATTAAATATTAAGCCAGCAGTGGGGACAGCCAAGAAGCAACCTGCTTTTTTTTACACTGCAGAATTTCCCAAGAGCTCAAGACTTGGCAACACCGGGTAACTTAAGAAGTGGTGGGAATGTGAGACGGAACAGCACCACTGGCTCAAAGTCAATTTAGGAAGCAATTAGCCCCCCAGATTCCTCCCCAACTCCAGGAGACAAACGAATGTCTTTTCCTCCACCGTAGCAATGGATTATATGGAGATGTGGGGAGAGATGGGATACCAGCACGGAGAGACATCAGCATCAGTTGAGGGAGGTCGTACCATCCTGAAAACAAGGGGTTTAGTGAAAGTTAACGTGACAAATAAGCAAGGCTTTGGATTCATCCTTGCTGTCTTGGAGTTGCAGAGTCTTAGGGGTATCTCTTAGCCTCTAGACATGGAAAGCCTTCATGATATGCAAGTAAAAGAGCATGGGGAACTTCTAGTATTAAGTGGGGGATTAAATAGGCACACATAGGAAATCCATATTTAAGTTTTATAAGGCAGCAAGACTCAGCACATCAAATACAAAGTGAGAGTTCAAAGGGAATGACTGAGGAGCAGTTAGAGTTCCATCCCCACAAAGATATGCATGCGCCAAAAGAGAATTTATCAGAAGGATTTTCCCTGGGAAAGCTGCTCCATAGTCCTCTTCATCTTACTACTTGCAAAGGTGAGAGAAGGAGGATGCCTTCCCTGACCCATATCTAGTAAGAAAGATTTCTCAGGTAGCTTTCAAGGACTATAAAAATTAGAGTGCATGGCTGCCCGGGTCTGATTATTGCCTGGAACTATGGCTACAGCCTGGTAGTAGAGCCCTGAGTGCACTCATATTGAGAGTAGCTAGCCTGTGTTAGTAGTAGTAGCAGTTAGTTGTTTGTCAGAGCAATGGATTTATGTGCTTCCCGTGGGCCATGGCAAGACATGCAAGAAGAGAGAGCCAGCATGGGCTGTCCTGGTCCTGTCTGATAGGCCATCCAAAGGGTGGAGGGCCCTAGCATCCAGGAGTGGAGGTGAAGCTAGACTGTAGGATGAGGAAGGATCACAAGTGACCACCTGGAGTACAGATGCCATTAATGTCCAAATAACTTGTTTTTCTTTTGTGCAGCAAAACTCATCAGATTTATCTGCCAAACCCAAATTCTCAAAGCCTTTCAACCCACTGAAAAGAAAAGGTGAGTTACAATAAAAGCAAAGGTTATGAGAGGTGTGAAGAGAGAATATGAATACATTGTATGAAGAAAATTCAATGCCAACGTTTTAGAAATTCATGTGGGAAGTGTGAGTATATCAGCAGCCATGTATGCAGAGGTCATCCGGGTTGGGCTCAGGGCTGATGGAACAATGTTGGTAATTTGATGTTCATGGAGACCAGGGTGTGCCATTATATATTTTCACCACAGATTATCTCCATGTCCTCAATTAGATATTATATACATCTATGGCATTGGTCACTGAAGCCATGGGGTGAAGGCATGTGGCTATTCTAACACCAATGTGTCCCTGCTAGAGAATGACCCTCTGTGCCAGCCACTGAGCAGCAGGCATGTGGCCACCTGCTTGTGCCCCAGTGATGCACGTACCCTCCCCCCAACGTGTCCCCAGGGAGGGGGCAGCCACACCTGCCAGGTGTAGAAGAGCACTGTCTCCTCTCCCTGTGATATGCATTGGCTCTATGTTCATATACTGGTGGTTACTAAAGCCTGTGATACTCAGCGATGAGTCGACTAGTGTTTAAACATCGCAGATAGTATTTTTGGAGGAGAAGGGTGGAGCCTGGACTAGAGGCAGAGACATTGCATTACAAGGTGAATTGAAGTCAGACTTAAGAGCTCAAGTCCCATTTCACAGAAAGTTGTGTTAATATCATCATTTAGGTAGGAAAATGGGCAACTCATTTTAGATTCCTATCAAAATTATTTGAATTCCAGATGCCTGGAGAATGTGCTCGTCCAGAGCCCTTGGGCCCTGTTATCACTGCCACCAACCAGCCTGAGTGCTTTTTACACACCTCTTTACCTTTTGGGGCATTTGTTCTTCATCAGTAAAAATCAGAAAACTAAGAGATCACTAAGGTTCCTTCCGGCGATGACATGCTATGATCTCAAATCTACTCTATCTCATTTCCCAGCAAGATCCGAAAAGCATGGTGCTTCTCTTCTCCGGTGGGAGGTGCCTGGCAGTGCAAGCTTCCAGGTGTCAGTGAGATGCTGTTCCTCTCCACCAACCGTGTTTTCCGTCCTCGCCTTCCTAAAACTGTTCCCAGTTGTCAGAAATTCCACAGGCTGAGTTTCACCTTGGTCTCATGCTTGATTCCAACATAGTAGCAATAATTCTTATCCTTTCTTTCTTCCCCCCTCAGGTGATTATGCACTTTCTCATATTGGAGATTCCTCCAAGGATATCATACTAACTCAATTTTCATCAACTGAGTAAGACAAGGAACCATAAAATCAAGGAAAAAACTCTGGAACAACTTGACATTTAGAGCTAAATGTCACTGAAGAAATTATGCTCAGTATTAGATGGGATTTTCTGATTTAGGAGTCTAGGAATAAAACAAGAAGACCTTAGCGGCTTTCTCTCTGCCTCCTTTGTCTTCAATTAAGTGAAGAGAAAATTTATTTCTATGTGGATGATTCAAAGAAATTGCTGTGGAAATGCAGAAGAGTATGTTGTGTTGGAAATAGTGTCAGTTGTACCTTCTTCTCATGATCACAAAATGTGGTTCTCTTTTTCATAAAATAGCATTATTCCCATGGCATTTCCAATCATCTATATTGGAGTAAGAAAATGTTATGAAATAGCTTTAGATAAATTAATGAACAATCTATTTTCAAAAGTCACTGGTGCAAATTTCCTAGAGAAGAGTCATTTCCTTTCCACATTTTCCAGTTGGATTTTATGTTCATCTTTGCTTCTTAGGTTCAGTCACTTAACTTCGAAAGGTAATCAGAAATAATATGAAAACTTCCACTTCAGATAGCTTTGCAGCCATTTATCAGAAAGTATATGTAGTAATGCGATTTGATTTGATATGTAATGTAGTATTTTTCACCTGGTCCCCAACCCTGCAAAGTGAAGTGTCCAGGCAGACCTAATGCAGGGGAGAGGACATGGGGTCTTGGAGAGGTGAAGTGACTTGCTAAAGATTGTGAGGCCAGTAATCTTTTAAAAATCCTAAAAATTGGGGATTTTTAGGATTTTTTGGTTTCTAGCCCTTATCTATAGCCCCATAAAAGCCTTAAAAATCACCTACAATCCTAAGAAATATTTGTGAGGTTAAATATCTGGTTCATGACTCCCAGAATTCTATCTATGTAAAAGGGAAACTGAAGGAGGATTTAGTTGTCTGCTTCCAGGGAGCTACCTTAAAACATCCCGATTTTCTTTCACAACACACAGTAGGTACTTTTTGGAAGTTGTTTTTATAAATAGCCAGTGTGACTTCTGGGTGAAACCCAGAGCGGCAGGTGAATGAACGTGGTATGAAGCACCATTTCCCTTCCATACTTCCACCACTTTGAGCCCACTGAGGTTCAGCCCTGACCACAGTGCACAGAATAAGCAAGGCTTTGGATTCATCCTTGCTGTCTTGGGAGTTGCAGAGTCTTAGGGGTATCTCTTAGCCTCTAGACATGGAAAGCCTTCATGATATGCAAGTAAAAAGAGCATGGGGAACTTCTAGTATTAAGTGGGGGATTAAATAGGCACACATAGGGAAAATACATATTTAAAGTTCTACAAGGCAGCAAGACTCAGCACAGATCAAATACAAAGTGAGAGGTTCAAAGGGAATGACTGAGGAACAGTTAGATGATTCCATCCCCACAAAGATATGCATGCACCAAAAGAGAATTTTATCAGAAGGATTTCCCTGGGGAAAGCTGCTCCATAGTCCTCTTCATCTTACCTACTTGCAAAGGTGAGAGAAGGAGGGATGCCTGCCCCTGACCCCATATCTAGTAAGAGAAGATTTCTCAGGTAGCTTTCAATGAGACTATAAAAATTAGAGTGCATGGCTGCCCGGGGTCTGATTATTGCCTGGAACTATGGCTACAGCTCTGGTAGTAGAGCCCTGAGTGCACTCATAATTGAGAGGAGCTAGCCTGTGTTAGTAGTAGCTAGCTAGTTAGTGTTTGTCAGAGCAATGGATTTATGTGCTTCCCGTGGGCCATGGCAAGACATGCAAGAGAGAGAGAGCCAGCATGGGGCTATCCTGGGTCCTGTCTGATAGGGCCATCCAAAGAGGTGGAGGGACCCTAGCATCCAGGAGTGGGAGGTGAAGCTAGACTGTAGGATGAGGAAGGAGTCACAAGTGACCACCTGGAGTACAGAAAGAACCTGCCCAGGTTAAAAGAATTGCAGGTGAGAGGTCAGGGCTACGGGAATTTCCATGGGAGTTCTTGAATGCTTCTTCACTTATTATATCCAGTTATTACCCAGAAACCTCAGTGCCCATGATGAGGTAGAAGGAGAGTGAGAAAAACTAAGCAAAAATGTCACCCAGCAAGGGAACATGTGATAATGCAAGTGGCCAACCCAAAGCAGCACTCAGCTGGGGAAGGGAAATTTAATGTTAAATTATTGTAGTTTCTTATTATTATACGAGACTGAGCATCCTAACCACCAAACTAATCATGTTTAAAGTGACTAAAATGTTGTTAGTACCTGGGCATGGTGGGGTTATAGCTGGAGTATATCTGATGGGAAGAAAAAACTTCTGCCACGAAATAAATTTTATGAGGATGACAAGAGATGAAAAAAATAAAAGTGTTTTTGATCATATCCCATGTGTCATGTTCATCTAATCCACTGATTACACATGCATTCGCCTCAAAAGCTACTAAAGAAATAATAAAATGATCAGAAGAAGAGAAAGGCATTGTAATCATTTTCTGTTGCTGGGTTTTCTATTATAATAGTTTATTTCTATTATGATAGTTTTCTGTTGCTGCGTAAAAATATTGCCACAAACTCAGCAGCTTAAAGCAACACACATTATCTCAGAGTTTTCTTGGCTGAGGAGTCCAGATGCAGCTTAGCTAGTCCTCTGGTCAGGGATGCATGAGGCTGTGATGAGGGCGCTAGCTGGGCTGTGTTTTCATCCACAGGCTCAACTGGGGAAGAATCCACTTATGACTCATTCAGGTGGTTGGCAGAATTCATTCCTTGAGGTGGTGGGCATGACAGTTGTGGCTTGTTGCTGACTCTTGGCTAGAGGCTGCCCTCAGACCCTAGAGACCCTTGCCACATGGGCTTCTCCACCTTGGCCACTTATATCACTAAGCCTGCAGGGAGGGTCTCTAACTCCAGTCTGCTTTTAGGACAGAGTCTGGTATTATATAGGGGTATCAGGGGAAAGACATCCCATAACTTTTGTCATGCTCTATAGTTAGAAGCAAGTCTCAGGTCCTGGCTATAATCAAGGGAAGGGGTTTTTTAAAAGGTTTGAACATGAAGAGGGAGGGACTGGTGGAGGGGACAGGCACGGACCTCCAAGGACAGGGAGTAGAAGAGAAGGTAATGGCAATGCAGCTGTGGAAAGCAGGTGGAGTGAATGTTAACTGACTTAGAAAACCTGAGAAAATTAAATATTAAGCCAGAAGTGGGGACAGCCAAGAAGCAACCTGCTTTTACACTGCAGAATTTCCCAAGAGCTCAAGACTTGGCAACACCGGGTAACTTAAGAAGTGGTGGGAATGTGAGACGGAACAGCACCACTGGCTCAAAGTCAATTTAGGAAGCAATTAGCCCCCCAGATTCCTCCCCAACTCCAGGAGCCAAACGAATGTCTTTTCCTCCACCGTAGCAATGGATTATATGGAGATGTGGGGAGAGATGGGATACCGGCATGGAGAGACATCAGCATCAGTTGAGGGAGGTCGTACCATCCTGAAAACAAGGGGTTTAGTGAAAGTTAACATACAACACTGGAACTGGGAGTGGTGGCTCACACCTTTACGTAATCCTAGCACTCTGGGAGGCCCAGGCAGGCATCGCTCAAGGTCAGGAGTTCAAGACTAGCCTGAGGAAGCTAGCGAGACCCCCGTCTGTATTAAAAACAGAAAGAAATTATCTGGACAACTAAAAATATATAGAAAAAATTAGCCGGGCATGGTGGCGCATGCCTGTAGTCCCAGCTACTCGGGAGGCTGAGGCAGGAGGATCGCTTGAGCTCAGGAGTTTGAGGTTGCTGTGAGCTAGGCTGATGCCACGGCACTCTAGCCCGGGCAACAGAGTGAGACTCTGTCTCAAAAAGAAACAAAACAAAACAAAACAAAACATACACTGCCAAGCAAGAATCTGAACAGGCATCTCTGGAGAACCTGATTGTGTATCAGGAGGAAACAAACACTGAAGATACTGACTTGGAATATTTGCTAAGGAATCATTCATTCAGATCAGCCTACAATGAAGTAAAGAGTCAGAATTCCCCATCTCATACACAGACCCTCCAGTAAGTTCTTTAACGTTCCACTCCTAAATATAAGCGGTCAAGGATCATTAGGCTGTTTACAAAAGCTTTCTGTGTTAAATGCAGAGACCCAAACAAAATAGAATTAAACAAAGAAGCCAACACAGAGAGGCACTGTAATGTCACCTTGAGTCCTGTCATATAGACCCAACTACAATGATAAAGAAACAAAGAAACACAAATTGACAAGAAAAGTATACCAGAAGGCAGGGGATGTAAGGGCCAACCAATATTATCCTCAAACAGGACATTGTCTCTGTGAATAGCATGCTGTGTCAAAGAATATGCAGACAACCAAGAGATATCTTTGAAATTAAAAATAGTTAGCATAAATAAAATGCTTTGATAGAAGCATTGAAAGGTCAAGTTGAGAAAATTACCTAGAAAGTAAAATTAAAGAAAAACCGATCTAAATTAGAAAAGAGAAAGAAATTAGAGGACAAGCCTGAGAGTTTCAAAATTTGCAGAAAGAAAGCCTAGAGAAGTAGAAAGAAGGACATCATTAAAGACATAAACAGAGAAAAAATGTTGGTCATTAAAGGATGTGAATTTCTCTATTGAAATTACCCATCAAATGCTCAGTATGATGAATGAAAATGGACCCATAGTTAGATACATCATTGTGAGATTTCAGATTGCAGAAGACAAAAAAAGAAATAAAAAAAGAGATACAAACATTTTCAGAGGGAAAAAATAAGTTTTATGTAAAGGGTAAAAAATAATCAGATTATTGTTACTGTCTACAGCAACATTATAAGCTAGAAAACGATGGAGAACACCTTCACGATGTTGAGGATAAATGATTACAACCTAGAAGCAATTAAGTGCAAGGAAGAAAAAAGATACTTTCAGATGAGATCGGGTGCATTCAGGGTGCTGTGGCTGTAGACAGTAAAGATATTTTCAGACACAGAAGTTTTCAATAAATTTTCCTTCAATGCTTCCTTTCCCAGAAGCTGTTGGGGAGTGTACCACATGACAGGTGGGAATAAACCCAGAAAAGATGGAGACATGGGACCCCCCCCAAAACAAAGGATGCAATAGAGAGACTAGAACCTTCAGAACAGGGACGAAGGGAGCTGCCCAGACAGCAGCTGTAGGA